GTTTTACATTGTTACTTTTCATGCAGTTAATGTCTCTGAATTTATTTGATATTTTAACTTTTCGTGTCATTTTGAAGGCTGGTCAGGACAATTTGAATAATTTGTTTAATAATTCATAGTATTTTGACAGCTCGAAGGGCTGCTGTCACATTTCAAAGTACAACAGGCCATTAAAGAACCATTGATGAAATACTGTAAGTGTATTAGTACAGGTGCATTGTAGTGTATTAGGAATACACTAAAGTACACTAAACACTAAAGTGCACTAAAGTAACACTTCTGATGGAATATGTGAATTTCATTCACCATTTAAAACTGACTATATATATATATATATATATATATATATATTTGTAATTACATATCTTTACTTTTGTAACTACTTTCTATATTTATGTAAAGCTGCTTTGCAAACCAAAAATATGAAAAACACTACAGAAATAAATTTGAAGTGTTGTTAATTTATTTAAAGTAGTTTTATTTATTTATTTATTTATTTGTTTGTTTGTTTGTTTGTTTATTTATTTTGTGCTCAGAGAACACCGTTATGAAAATCACTTTTAACAGGTTTCAAGCATGTTGTAGATGGAATTAAGAACCTAGCCAGTGTACTTTCTTAAAGATTAATATATATTTCATCCTTCCCCACTGCATTTGTAAAGGTTTACTATTTTAAAAATGAATGAATGAATAGTGCACTAAGTCTGTGCTTGATGGAAGCATGAAATAACTACATTTTACAGTGCATTTTCAGTTAGTAGACATGTCAATCTATTTTTAGTATACTTATCATGAAAGAAATATATTTTAAATACAATTCTGTATTAGGGTAGTTATTGCACATGCATGAAAATAGCTTCTGTGTAGAAAACAACAATAACAAGAGACTGCATTGTATGTGTCCTTCATAGAGAAGGTATTCCCTTAATGCATCACAACAATTTATAACAAAACAAACTGATTATAAACAGTTACCGAGACATACTGTTAAAATAGTTCAGTGTAGTTACAAATGTAGTATGTTTCTTAAGATTTGTGTATGTTTTCATGCTGTTTGGAGTGTTACTGTTAGTTTAGCATCATGCTAACCGTAACTGTTGAAATCAATGAGTTGATTCTGCATGGTATGTGTACATTCCAAATCAGTCACAAAGAATTATTTTCAGAATCGTTCTTTATGTAACAAACAATGGCTTTGTGGGTTGTCAGAATTTTAAGAAATGGTCTGCATTAGCATGCACTAGCATACTAGGGCCACCAAATAGGGTTTGGTGGCTGATGTCCAGGTGTGTCATTTCAATCTTTGGCTTGATATGATTCATGTCATCATTTCACAGACGTGACACACATCCTTGTGCAATCTCCCTTCTCAATGTGTTTTTGTAATGAACGCCTTTTCGAATTATCTATTCGTCTTCATCCATGTGTCAGAAATGTTGTCGCCCCAGAGTGCCTGGTATGAGAGGTTAAAACGAATATCCAAACGCCCTTGGATATCTGCATGATCCAAATTCGCACAGGCACATTTTCGTTTCAAATGGCGGCTTTCCCTAAATTGCAGCTTTGCCAATGCAATTTACCAGATCGTGGCCATACTGACTCATATTCGAGAAATCTGTGACACACACTTTTCTGTGTCATTCTGGTCCTGATGCATCACCACAGGGCTCTTTGCTAAATATGATCACCTCGAGTAAAATTCAGATGGTAATATGGACGTTTGGCTGATTGGAATGAAATTAAAATGTGCCATGAATGTCCTTTGAGTGTGAGGAAGAGAAAAGGGAAGAGCGGTAATGGTACAGTGAAATGGATGCTCCAGCTTTTCAAATGAGATGTGCTTAAGCTGTGACTTTGAAACTGGATTCAGCTCATGTCGGAATTTTATGAAAGATACAAAACAGTGTATATAAATCTTTTCATGACAATATTATACCTTAGTGGCACATTGAATAAAAGAAGCAATCCATAGGTTTCTTAGGTGCAGAACAACTTTGAACCCATTTCAGAGAATTCATAATCGACTAAAGGTGCTTTGAATGAATATTCATGGTTATTGAATGGTTCATTAAACCAATTAATTATTGAATGTGCTTAAATGTGCTTTCCATAGCATAGATACTAATTTCTTAGTTAAAATCGTGTTAATATTTACCTGTAACTGAAGAATATTCAGTATGCTCTGTTGTGTACTGCATATTTTGACAAATGGAGTAATGAGCTTTATAAGCTTATGAAAAAGAAGTGCATAACTGTATTAAATTATTTTTTTGTATTAAATTAATTATTGTATTGCACTTGTAGTGTACTTCAAATTTAAAAAGCATAAATACATAAATAAGACCACTTAAGTGTACTTAGAATACATACTTTCATGACTGTTTCTTATCACACTTAAGTACACTTTTAAAAAGTACACTTTGTAATAATGTCAAATTAAACGTTTTTCTTCGCAGTACATTTTAATTCAGTGCATCTTTAAAATAGTACACTTATTTTAATGTGTTGACTAGCATACTACTTAATAATACTTATCATAATTTTACCTGTAATGTGTTTTTCAATATTACATTGAAAGTAAATATATTTTAAATGTAATGAATTGCGGCTTCATCTTTACAAATGTCTAATTACAGATGCATTTAAATATATGACATACAAGTTTCAGTAGAAATCACATCAAAGTATATTTTAGTTTACCATAAATGCTTGTCAGTACATTCAGGAGTAACACTTTAACTATATTTCAAGAGACAATAGAAATAATTATGAAATTACATGTTAAATTAACTTACATCCTAATGTGACTCAAAAAATCACTCTAAAGTTCAGCTAATTATATTTAATATAAATTTAAACTATAATACATTTAATTGCAATTAACATGCAGTTAAGTGCTTGAAAACATTACATTCAGTTCACACTTAACTTTAATTCAGCTACGAGGTCATGCTGTGATGCATCGATCTTCTGTTGGTCACACGAAATGCAAAACTTGTTCACATTAGCTTGCGTTTCACTCACGTCTTGCATTCGCATGCGTATGGAAGTCAATTAAACGAAAAGTGCAGTGTGACCACACCTTAAGTGAGACTAAATATAGGCAATACGTTTTCAGTGTGTGAACTGCGAGACTCACACTGTTAGCACACACTGAATGACTCCCAGCGGTCCAGACTTCAGTTCTTTACTGTCCACACAGCTCACAATCGCTCATATTCAGAGAGCATCAGGCAGAGGTAATACAAGGCCTCGGGAGGGTCTCTCTGGTCATTGACCGTGCGTTTGAAGAGCGCTGAAGGGCCGCTCGGGCCCTCAGGGTGCATTCTGAGGTCTTGCTTTGTTAACTGCCATGTTACAAGCCTCCTGACTGCGTAGATTATAGCTGGCAGATTGTTTTTCCAATCTCTCTGCCACCTGATGTATTGTTATTGAGCGTCTCTATGGACAGCAAAACATTCAGCCATATTTTGTTAGATGTGGCGGTTGTGGTGTGTGAATGGTGCTTCAGGGGTTATCGTGCTATTATGTTACAGTACACATGCATAACATTCCCTAACATGCTTATAATGCATAAGTAATCAGTACGGTGTTCAATGGAATTTTACTGGCAAAATGTTTATTGTTGTGTGTAAATGTGGACCTGTATTTGGGATGGGGCCCTCTTCTGCAGTGGTTCCCAACCCTGTTCCTGCAGTATCCCCAACAGTAGATATTTAGGACGTCACTTTTATCTGTCACACCCATTTTAAGCCTTGGTTACGTTTACATGACAACGATTGTAGTAAAAATGGAAATATTTTTATTTTTTTTTTATTTTGGAAAAGTTTTGCGTGCAGACGATACTGCATCATTCATGCCAGGCCAGTAGTTGACTAACTACTCTAATGAAAAATGAAAAATTTTATGAAAAAAATACGCACCTATGCACATATCTAAAAATCTGAACTTGTAATACAAATTCATAATTTTATAGTTTACACAGAGATGATAACGACATTGTTTTCAAAAACTTTGCACTTTGAAACCCATTTTCAAAGCATTTTCAGGCTCCCAAAACGCCACTTTTGTGTCAATTAAAGGCCAACACGCATAAAAAGTTGTTTGTTTTTAGTTGAAAATGGTGTCACGTAAGCACTGCCTTGCAGGGCTGTAGTGGGGGTTCGCGGAGCCCTGGTGCAGGTTGTTCCCATGGGCCCTGTTTGAAATTCTCTTCTCTTCTACATGGAGGTTCACTGAGGTTCTATCAGAACTATTATTGTCAGAGCCATAGCCTTGTGGAAAGTGCTCCGAAAGATAGTGTAACAGCCATAGACTGTAAAAAACATGGACGTAGTGTCCGTGACGTCACTCGTAGGTTTCTGAAGAGCGTTTTTGAAGCTCAAAGTGGGCGAAGCTTGCCGTCGCCATCTTGGCAACGCGTCACCGCGTGTCACTCCCGGATAATCGAAAATGGGCGAAGAGGCGGGAGCTGGTTGCTGTAACCACGCCCACCTAGCTCGACGGTGGTGACAGCAGTGGCAATCCACCTGTCACTCAAGTGGCCACGCCCTTAATTATGCAGAACTTAAAGGCTTAATATAATTTAAACGGATGAGTTATAAAAAAAATCACCCCCCTCACATTTGTCATGAAGGGCAAAATTAGTTATATAGATCAAAACCAATTTTTGTACCAGGCTGTAAACGTTTTTTTTTCTGTTGTAAAGTTGGACATTTTAACATGGGGAGTCTATGGGACTGACTCCCTTTTGGAGCCATCCTCTAGCGGCCAGTCGATGAATTGCAGTTTTAGTCACTTCCATGTTGGTTTCAAGAGAGAGAGCGGGAGGCTGCCACTTGAGCGACGAGAGTTTGACTTCTGACTCGTGGTCCTTTCCTTGTCCCACTCCCCTCACCTATCGTTTCCTGTCTTTGCTTGACTGTCCTCTCATAAGAACCTCCAAACATGAATGAAACATTGACTCTTTTTGATCTGCTTTTTTTCTCCTTGTATTTCAGTGGGAAGAAATCGGAGAGGTGGACGAGAACTATGCGCCCATCCACACGTACCAGGTGTGTAAGGTGATGGAGCACAACCAGAACAACTGGTTGCAGACAAACTTTATATTAAACCAAGGTGCCCAGCGAGTGTTCGTGGAGCTCAAGTTCACTCTACGGGACTGCAACAGTCTCCCCGGAGGTCTGGGCACATGCAAGGAGACGTTCAATGTCTACTGTTACGAAACCAATGACGAGGAGAGGAGGAATATTCGGGAAAGCCGATACACGAAGATCGACACCATCGCGGCCGACGAGAGCTTCACGGAGCTTGATCTCGGAGACAGAGTCATGAAGCTGAACACGGAAGTTCGGGATCTGGGTCCGTTGACCAAGAAAGGCTTCTACCTGGCTTTCCAAGACCTGGGCGCGTGTATCGCGCTCGTGTCCGTCCGTGTCTTCTACAAAAAGTGTCCTTTTGTGGTCAGGAATTTGGCCCTCTTCCCGGATACTATAACTGGGGCAGATTCCTCCCAGCTTCTGGAGGTGTCAGGGACCTGCGTCAACAACTCGGTAGCTGATGAACTTCCCAGAATGCATTGCAGCGCGGAGGGGGAGTGGCTGGTGCCCATTGGGAGGTGCATGTGCCAGGCGGGCCATGAGGAAGTTAATGGCTCCTGTCAAGGTTGGTGAATATCTTCATTATTATGCAAATGCGAATGCTGCCGATGCCACACATGTGTGACGTATCCCCTTGAACTGCATCTCTGAATGTCACACACACTGATGAGAACCTGACCTCTTTGTGTGGTACGGGCAGACTGTGACATTCATTTGACAATCTAGTGATTTTACAGTTTTCATATTATGGCAGGAGTTTATATTTAAGATGTGTATAATGGTTGTGTGTATATTTAAGGTACTTAGAGCACTCGGCAGGTATTTAGGATGCTTTCTCAGGCTGGTTAGAAGGATTTACGTGACTCAATGCTGAGAGGCGGTGCTAATCATGGAGGAAATGCTAGAAGTGGGTTGGTAGTGTAACAGCTTTCAGAAAGTGTAAGAATGACAGATGATTCACTGAGTTTAACAATACAATGAACCTAACTGGCTATATTGTTGAGTCTGTTGTTTTAAATGACTCAATTTATTTACACTGCAACAAACTTGCATTGAGACAATCTAGTTTGAAGGTTATGTGAAGCAAAATGTCTGTGCCTCACAAATAATAACTTTTGACAGGAAAGTTTTCTTTTTAGTTACTGTAGGTGGGATCAGTGTGTCTCTCAGAAAACTTTATATATATATATATATATATATATATACTGTATATAGTACCCATAAATCAATTAAAGAGTTACAAACAAACAAACTGACAATAAATAAATCTAATTAACAAAATCAAATAAAAAAAGGAAAATTGATTAAATTAAACACTACATGTGCTCTACAATATAAATGAAAACAAAATCTAATTATGAATTAATCATAATTATTAATCATTTTTATTATTAAATAAATTAGTCCTGATTAGTTGATCCAAGTGGCCTCAAATAACTTGTTGCTACAGAGGGTACCATATCATTGATAGCCTGACCATTGGCCATTTTTTCCCCCTCTCTCTTTAGTAGCAGTTTTCTACAGTACATTGTTTGGATGCCGTGCAAAAAAAAAAAAAAAAAAAGTTAATGTTGCCCTCAAATCTTTGTTCTTCTAAATACTTTAACCTTTCTGTTTTTCCTTGTCAGCATCAAGTAAAGTTGGTAAATATCCTGCATTCTGTCTTTTATTTCTGTTGCAGGACAATGAAAGTACTGTTGATTTTCATGCATTTGCTTTTTTCACCATCCTATTTGAAATGCACATGGGTAGCAGATTGTTTCATCTCAGAAACTGACATTTCAGAGGAAATGTTGTTTCACAGAGCAGTTAAAATCATCCAACTGTAATTTCCTTAGTGTTCAGTTAGATTTTGGCTTAATCAGCTTTGGTTTGGTCTGGTCTTTATTAATAAATAAATTACATTATGCTCCTCTGATAAACCTGCCATATGACTTTTTCAAAAGACTTGAAATATAATGTGCTATGCACAAATTGTATGGACTACGATAGTTTATCGCTGTTTTTTCTGGAACTTGACATTATGAATTGTTGTCATGGAAAATATCAACATAAAGATTCTTCTTATCCTACTGAATAAAGTACAGTTTTGGAACAGCATATAGTTAAACAGTAACACAATTTTTATTTCGAGCTAGTTTACATTTTAATCATTACCCTACCAGTTTTAAATGGGGTGCCGTTTTCTTTGTCATTTATGTCTTAGTTTTGATGGCTTTACCCAACCCCCATCCACACCACTGGAGCCCAGAGGATATAATGATGGTTTGGATAGAGGAGACAGGAAGTGATCGAGGGGTCCACGCTCCAGTGCTGGAAGAGGGCAGTGTGTCCTGTGAATTAAACAGTGCCTTCATCCTCCTCCTCCTCTCCTCAGATTGCTTCCTTTGTCTGCTGCCAGAGTTACCGCTTTGCGATAAGGATTCTTTTTGAGTGCATTGTGATATTTCTGTGCAAAATTAATTTCCATTGAGCTGTCCTGAGGGAATGTCCAGTGCCTCTGCAATGGAAGCCTTACAGGGAGTTGGTTTGTGCAGTTGGCCAGGTTTCCGAGCAGACCAGGCAACAAAGTGTCGGAAACGCTTTCAGGGCTTTTGTCTGGAAGATGGGCTGCAATTCAGTTGGCAAAATGGTACAATGAGTAGTCAGAGCCGTGGGCGTGGGTGTACAATGCTGTTCCTATTCAGATGTTTCGTGCAGGCAATTATAAAATTAATGTAAACATGACAGTCACCTGAGATAAAGAGGAAAGGGGCAGTCTGGCTGCTCTTTAGGGAGACACGCTGAATACATTCAGTTTGTCACACAAACAAGGACATTTTATCAGAGCAGAATAGAAATGAAGCTGAGGTTGATGGCTTAGATGAGAGTTTGTACCTCTTGCAATTAGAATATAATAAATCTTATGAGTTAAACTACAACAGCTTGTGCAATTGCCCAGCAGAAAAGGCTTTAAGGCCCGTTCACACCAAGAACACTAACTGTAGTGATAACTATCTTAGCCTTCACACCAACAGACAATCTGAAAACGCTCTGAAAGTGATTCCAATTATATCTTTCCTCTGTGTCATTATATTTAATGTTGTAGAGTCTGCTCTTCTCTTAAATTGTGGTCAGATTAGTGAATTTGGAGGGCAAAAAAGGTTGATTGTCTATCGACAAAATTGTTACGATCACTTTCAAACCTGTGCAGGAAAAAAATTGTGCAGAAATCCAGCTAATGTGAATTCCAAATGAAACGACTGGATTTCGCCTGCAAAAATATTCACCAAACAGTGTTAAACGTGACTGCACCTTTAAATTTAGAACAATTTTACAACTTTGTGGTTGTATTTACTGTTCTTGGCGTGAACTTGCCTTTAGACAATTACATTTTAAATAAATTAACTTTAATTTGTGCTCATAGTTGTGATTAGTGTAGAGTCAAGCATCCTTTTGCCTTCATAAATGTAGGACACATTTTGTCTCGCGTTGCAAGACTTTTGACTTGTGACATGAAGTCTGGTCTACATCATGTCGTATTCTGGCCAATAACCACCCACTTGGACAAGACATGTGACCGACATGTTAAGTGATCGATTTAAAAAAAATTATATTTATACATTAATATGAAAACCAAATTAAAAGACCAACGTGGGGGAAAAATGAATTCATACGATGCAGCTAGTTACAGAAAACATACTTAAAAAAGTTGTGTATTTAGCCAATCAGGGGAACGTTTCTCAAAAGCATTGTTTGCCAGTTATGGTCGGAAGTTCCTTCATTACAAAACAGTCCCAATGAATGTTCAGAACTACAGCTCTCAACCTGTTAGAAGCAGTTTCTTGTTAATATGACATGTGGACTTTAATAGATCATGCACTCGAGCCAAATAAGCAAATGAACATGTAGTGCAATCTACTGTATATACATACACGCATTATATTCCATGTTTATAACTCTTTGACATGTACGATCACACCGGTGTGATTAGAAAGATCAGTGTGTCACGTGATCAACTGCTGAATTCAAATCTGCTGTCACGCTTTGGCTGGCGCTGAGCCAGAGACGGACACGCTGAGCTCGTGTCATATTATCACAACTATTCAGTGCTGTCAATAATGCTTATTTTAGGTTTCAGACATTTGAAGCAAGTACTAGCAAAAATACATTCATGTCAAATGTAGGCTTACAACAAGTGTTAGGGGCTTCTACACCATTCCTATTCACCTATCATTTCCTCTGATTTAGGCTTATGGGTAGGGCTAGGTTTAGGGGTAGATATAGGGTTAGGACTATGTTTTTTTGGACAGAAATGTTGTTCTAGGATCAACAAAACATGTTGATCCAGGAACATGTCTTAGGCCGTGTGTCCACAAAAGCGTGTTTAGCCAGCTGTAAAACGCCAGTAGCTCTGCTGAAAACGCCTAGCTGTGAGCGCTTGAGAGTGCAGCGCTTTTTTTTTGTTGAGTTGAGACGCTTTGGCTGCTATGATACGGAATATCCGCGGAAGGGTAACTAGTATCTGATTTTGTAGATCGTTTATTTATGAATATACAAATGTTGACACAATATAAAATACTTGCTCTGGCCCTTGTTTTAAATGATTTTGTTCTGTTGTTGTGCTTCTTGTTGTCGTCTGTTGCTGTTGTAGAAGAATGATGTGGCGGTTGGTCGGTGTGGAATTAGTCCCGCCCCTCCTCCACTGTGATTGGTCAAAGTTGAACATGTAATGTAATATTGCCATGTCCTCTTAAAATCCTCAATGCATGTCAGACAAAATATTATTAAAGTAGTGGAGACGGAAGGGAAAGGAATCTGCTGTCTCGTTGTACCCATATCACACACGGCTGAACTGAGAATTCATGTAATTTGCACCAAAATTAAATGCCATTCCATGTCTTATGCAAATGAACAGTGGTGAACATAAACTAATTGGCAAAGACTGTCCTGCCAGGCCTGTGGAGGTGTGAGTGAGGGAGAGAAGCACAGAGAGAGATGGACTGGAGTACAGGAGGGTGGTGGATGGGATGGTGTTCGGCTCTCTGTGGGATTGAGTCAGCTCTCCGGGCCGGGAGCTTTCTGAAAGAGCTGGATCTCCACTGATCTGACTCTGTTTTCATTCCTGTCAGCCGTTAGTGCTGCAGATGTCAAACTCGATCCAGTCACTTGCTACATACCAAGGGACTGAGCTACTGTGGAAATGTACCAAAGACAAAGATGTTTTGGAGAGCACATCATGCTAACAGCATCGGGAAACAAGTACTGGCTGGGCTTTAGTGAAATGTGGAAGGTGTTATTTCCACTGTAAGAAAACTTCATGAGTTGTTACAGATTTTCAGAGGAATGGCTCACCCGAAAATGAAAATGTGGCATTATTTAGCCATCCTCATGTCATTCCAAATACATATGACTTTATGTGTCTTCGTGACACACAGTAGAAGGAATTTTGAAGAATATTCACACTCTAATATGTCTGTATTTATTTATTTTTAATGGAACTGAACAGCATGGACACAGCATAAACATCTTTTGTGTTCCATGGAAGAAAGTGATTTGGAACGTCATCAGGGCAAGTAAATCACAACAGAATA